GGGGCCCAGTGGTGGTCTCTGCCCTGCACTTCCCCACCATGGGGTGTGACCAGGGGCCCAGTGGTGGTCTCTGCCCTGCACTTCCCCACCATGGGATGTGACCAGGGGCCCGTGGTCTCCGCCCTGCACTTCCCCACCATGGGGTGTGACCAGGGGCCGGTGGTCTCCGCTCTGCACTTCCCCTCCATGGGGTGTGACCAGGGTCCCAGTGGTGGTCTCTGCCCTGCACTTACCCACCATGGGATGTGACCAGGGGCCGGTGGTCTCCACCTTGCACTTCCCCACAGTGAGGTATGACCAAGGGCCCGGTGGTCTCCGCCCTGCACTTCACCTCCATGGGGTGTGACCAGGGGCCGATAGTGATGGTCTCTGCCCTGCACTTCCCCACCATGGGGTGTGACCAGGGCCTGGTGGTCTCCACCCTGCACTTCCCCACCATGGGGTGTGACCGGGGGCCGGTGGTCTCCACCCTGCACTTCCCCACCATGGGGTGTGACCGGGGGCCGGTGGTCTCTGCCCTGCACTTCCCCTCCATGGGGTGTGACCAGGGGCCGGTGGTCTCTGCCCTGCACTTCCCCTCCATGGGGTGTGACCAGGGGCCGGTGGTCTCTGCCCTGTAGCATCACCCATTTATTCAGTGGGGGTGACAGCACAGCCACACCTCGGAGATGTTTTGGGTTTGGTTGCAGGCCACCTCAATGGAGCCTACAAAGAACTGGGCTGCCCCTCAGCCCTTGCTGTCGAGTCGACTGGGACTCATGGCAACCCTGTAGGACAGAGCAGAGCTGCCCCATGGCGTTTCCAAGGCTGCCGTCTTTGTGGAAGCAGGTTGTCAGATCTTCCTCACTGGTGGGTTTGAACTGCCAACCTTTCAGATAGCAGCCCAGCCCAACCCCAACCCCAACCATGCCACCAGGGCTCCTCGGGGCACTTGATTAGGCTTCCGGATCTGCCACTGGGTGGGCACGGTCCCACCCTTGGAGCCCAAGAGCCAGCAAATAACAGAGGTCAGGGCTCTGACCTTACTGGCAGGTGCGTGGCATCACTGACCTGCCATCCTCACTAAACCCCCATGTGCGCTGTGCTCCAAAGGCTAGACCAGGGCCACTGAGCTGGGTGCATCTGAACCTGGGTCTGTAACTGGAACCAAAAAAGACCAAAAACAAACGTACTGCTGTCAAGTTGCTTCCAACTCATAGCAACCCCCGCTGGGTTTCTGAGGCAGTAAATCTCTACGGAAGTAGATTGCCCAGTCTTCCTTCTGCAGGGTGGCTGGTGGATGTGAACCACCAACCTTCTGGTTAGCAGTCAGAGGACTGTTGAAGACCATCGTGCAGCCCACTGCAAACGGTGGCTCTGGCTGGGCCACTCTCTTATTGCAGGCGGTGGTGAGTGAGGAGTGCATCCCCGTGGACCAGTTTGTTGAACACCTGCTCCCCAGCCTCCTCAGCCTTGCGTCGGATCCTGTGCCGAACGTGCGGGTTTTGCTCGCCAAAGCTCTGAGGCAGACGCTGTTGGAAAAGGGTAGGTGGGCTCCTTGGCTGAGTGTAGACGTTTGCAGTTGATCACGCGTGAGGCGCAGCTCACCTTCCTCCAGGGCGGGACCGTGGCCAGCTGGGCGGTGGCAGACTCGCGCTGCACCACTGTCGTGTAATAAGCTCCAGCCGCAGCATCTGCGTATTTATGAAACGACTGAAGGGAACGGACGTGGCTCAGCTGACATCTAGTGAACATGCTGGAAGGCAGAATTCTACGTTATCTCGTAGAAATGAGGGAGACTTGGGTGCATTTTGAGAGTCCCACCGTGAGCACGGTGGTGGAAGTCACAAAATTGAGTCTTAACCACCGGTAGGTCTCAGGGGTCCTGTTGTGCCTTAGTCAATAAGAAAACGTTTACAGCCCAGCCTTTTAAACCTGGACGGGACTTCAGATTGGTTTCCCTTGACTAGTTCCTTCCCATACTACACACATAGGGCAACATCCTGAACCTTCCTACAAAAACGTTTCCTGCCACTCCAGCCCTCCACCCAGCCAGCAACCCGCCTCTCCCGTCTTCCACATACTGCCAGTTCTTTCCTGTTAGATGGGATAAAAAGTAATACTGAGTTCTTTTCAGTTACTAACATTCTTAAAATATGCACACTTGTTCTTGGGAATCCATCTTTAAAATGTATGAAAACTCTTTCGTTAAAGCAATTTTGTCATTTAGAAGACTGAGTAAATGGTCATTCTGTGAGAAATGCTTTATTGCTCTGAGCTGAGATGGGGTTTCAGGAAAAGATAAGAGGTTGTTTGAAAGCACGGTTCTTGGCACATGTGACTCCAGCCCACATTGTCTTGCCAGCGTATTTCAGAAATGCCGGGAACCCTCATCTTGACATCGTGCAAGCGACCGTCCTTGCTCTGCAGTCGGACCGGGACCAGGACGTTTCCTTCTTTGCCACCCTTGAACCAAAGCGGCGGAACATTACAGACACCACCGTGTTACAGAGCCAGAACTGACGCTGTGGTCTGTCGTGACCTGGTCGTTCCATTCTTGGCACATACAGCGTATCGTAACTGGAGGGGGCGCTAGCTGATGACTGTCTCGACCTGCTGACGGTGGATGTCTCAACCTGCATCACGTGCCCTCAGCTGAGCCCTTCTCCTCCCGTCTGCAGCCGAGGCATTGATCTGGGGGCGCTGGGCCTGCTCTGGGCAGCCCCTCCCCGAAAGCCTGATCAGAATGAGCAGGGCTGCAGAACCAGGGGCTGAGTGTGTGGGACCCTCCAGACCGTCACACGGTCTGCACTGTTCACACGTGATTTTACTTCAGGCCCTCTCTCCCCCAATGAGGTAGTTTATTGTAAGCTTTAAAGTCTTTCATAGACTTGTGTGTTTGGCTTCCCACTACTTCCCTATGAAATATGGTTTATGGTGTTACAGTTTATCTTTAACTGAAATACTGTACATATGTAAATAACTGCTGACAGGAAGAAAATCTATGAATGTAATACTAGTCTCCCATCAGGGAGCAGAACAAACAGCATCTAACTTATGCTCCACTTTGAGTTGCTGCAAATATAGCCCATTTTGTTTACTTTGAAAAATGTGATATTTAAAAAAAATCTACTAAAGAACGATTTATGGCGATCTTTCTAATACTGTATGTACTTTGATTATAAACTGTACTGGGAACTTTTCCTTAAGCCCTCACTCTCTCTCCCTTTCCTGCGCGCACAGTGTCCACAAATACAAGCATTTGGCTCTTGATGCAGGCTTGAAGCCGAAAGGCTTTTTCACTTTTGTGCAGGTCACTTGCTGTGTGTTACGAGGGGAGTCGTCAGTTGAACTGTGTGGACAGTGACTGTCCATCCCACGCGTTAGAATCCTCACCAGCGCAGGAGACCACCGGTCTCATCAGTCCCTGTGCCACAAACACCAGTGGTTTGGGGTCGAGTATTAATGCAGATGGGCTTCAGCACACACAACCTAGGTTTCAGCTTTTAAAATTTAGACTACGAAAGAGGCTCAAGAATTGAAATGCGTTTTTCATTAATACCTCACGAGTCTGTAAACATTTGATTGATTCTGGGGTCAGTACCTCTCCCATTAGTTTTGTTGTTTCTATTTCTGTGCTTTCAAAGGCAGGCGTGGGGAAGGAAAGAGAAGTGACCCATCTGAGGGGCAGGATCCCACAGGGCATGGAAGCTGAACCCCTTCTGCCCTTGGGTTTTTCCCCCTGTCTTTTCTTATTTATTGTTTTTATACTATTTCTGAAGCTACATAGTCAACTTCCTGGCAAACAGGATGTGATCTCCCCTCCCCCAAATTCCATTGAGCTCCTTACAAAGAAAGGAAGGGCTCTATACTGTGCCAAGGAAAATAAGTTCCACGTAGGAGGGCATCAGACTGTGGCCCTGGGTGGCAGCTGGGCTGTGTCAGCAAAGAGGGGCTTCATCAATTGGAAGCCACCTGTGAAAAAAGCAGCAAGTCCACCTTGTGTTCAATACTCGTCCAAAGTAAATAGTTGGAAACTATGGCTTTGGTGTGGTAATGAAAACCAAACCAAACCAAACATACTGCTGTCGAGTCGATAGCGATCCCTCCTTGGGTTTCCCAAGCAGATCTCTACGGAAATAGATTGTCCAGTCTTCCTTCCAAGGACTTGAACTGCCAGCCTTCTGGTTAGCAATCAGATGCTTTAGGCACTACGCCACCAGAGCTCCCAGCCACCAGAGCTTTGGTACAGCAGTTGTCGTTTTGTTCATGGCCTAGAAATTGGGACGGCCTCGTGAAGGTCTGTTGATCCAGCGGCAAGTGGGCCTGTTCACCTGGACTCCCGTTTCCTGTGCTGCGCTCCATTCTCCGTCAAGGGAAACGGCTTCGGTTTGTGTTACCATGCGTGGAATCCGCATGCTGACTCACAGCCCTCTCCCAGAGAGCAGACGAGGCAACACACGACTGATACCCACAATGGCAGCTCTGGTGTCTTGTTAACATCTTTCTGTGCTCCAGTGTCAGGATTTTCTTACGAAGGTAATTTCTCGGCAGAAAGTTTTTGGAAAGCTCAGTTTATTCTTTTTTGTAACACTTGAGATTTTTCTAAGATTGGTCCCGGTTTGACTTGCTGCCCTCTCTAGCTGACCGCCCCCCCATCCTTTCATCGTTTTATGTGCGTAGCTTTTAAGTCATTCACAGGTATGGGTTTTGGGTTTTGTGTGTTCACCCGGGACCGTCTAACCATCCGTAAGCTTCCAGTTTACTGGAACCCTCGGCCTCCTCGGGGTGGCAGAACGGAACAGTCCGCAGAGCTTTCTCGCCGTGGACACTTTCCCCTCATCAGTACACTTCTCACTCCAGAGGTCCAAAGGCATCTGCAGACATGATGGGTTGTGACCGTTTTTGCTGTCGACAACCTGCCTCGGGGTGGCCCGAGCGTGGCTTTTTACCACCTGGACTGCTGCCCAGATCCACGGGAAAGAGGTGTATGGCTGTAGCGTTGCTTTTCCGTTGGTGCTGGAAATACGGTTTTTGGGCATGGCTAAAGCCCGTAGTGATAACTGCTTCAGAAACCCAAGGAGGGGTCGCTATGAGTCGAGTCCGACTCGAGGGCACACAACAGCAAAGACTGCACGATACAGCCCAGTGCAGACGATGCACGCGACTTAGAGTGGTACCCACGCAGCAATCCAGGCGGTCTGCTCCGAGCTACGCCCAGATGGCATTTCAGACGGGAAAAGGTAACATTTTCCTAAGGGCGGCACGAATTCCGCCCGTTTCCCAGCTGGGGGGAACTGACGCATTCGCAGCAGCTTGGAAGTTGCTGGAAGCAGCTGGGGGCGCGGCGCAGGGCCGGCGTCTCAGCGCCTCTCCAGGTTTGTGACGCGCCCGGGCGCCTGCAGGGGGCTCTGCTGCCCAAGCGCCCCTGGCGTGGTGGGAGCGCGGGCTCCGGCGGCCACGGAGCCCGCGCCCTGGTTCTCCGCCGGGCCGTGCTGGGGCGTGGGGGCCCCGGGTCTGGGGACTCGGGACCGAGAGCCGCCTGCCTGTCTGTGCGCGCAGGCAGGG